AATGAAATGGACAACTGGCAGATATCTAGTACATGGAGAAAACGACCTTGAGAGTGTTAAAAACAAGTGCATATTAGTGCAGATGAGATCTGCTAGAGTATTTAGGGAATTTTAGACCTGAAATCTTCAACGAGTACAAATGCTCTTCTTAGTGTCTAAGGGTTATGCCACCATGTATGGGAGTATTGGCCACATGACCAGGCAGGACATGGTAAGTGAATTTAGACACATGGATCCTTTTTTAATTGCCACGTGATTTTATTTCAGGATGACAACTTCAGAACTGCTAAAAGAGTAGGCAATTGTCAGAGTGATTGTTGACTGCCTCTCCCAGTACATAGTCAATGTGATTTCTTTCATTGCATTTCATTAGTATTTACCTTTCCTCAGTTTCACTTGCGGCTAGCACAGTTTCACTTGCGGTTAGCACAGTTTCACTTGCGGTTAGCACAGTTTCACTTACAGCTTCAGATGGTTCGACTGTTCTTTCTCCTACATGTCTTCGTAATGTTTGTATAAGGGCACCAATGATAAGTACAAACAGGAAAAGAGCATAACGAATAATCACTAAAACTGGCACCACTTTTATACTCATAACCTGGAAGAATTGTAAACCATGTTCTGTTTTAGGAGGAGGGCCACTGTTTATACTACCTCCGAGTCCTTCGATGTCACAAAATGGTGGTTTCCAGCCACGCACACAGTGACAATTTTTGATGTTGTTACACACTCCTCTGAAATTGCATTTCTTTACATCACAGTCAAAATGCATGTCATTATGAAAGGTACAATTCTGTCGCACACAGTATTGTGCTGGGCCACATGTTGCACCATCCACTACAAGCCCCATTTCTGGCAACTCTGTTCCATGATGTGCATCATATCCAAAACATTTCTGTGCTGGAGCATCTCTTAGTAATATATTACGAAATGTGGTATGCTCACCTCCACCTGGAATATATTTGACATCACTACAGTGCAGCATTCCACAGAAAACATTTTTTTCTGCACATGGAACTGGCTTACCTCCCCCAGCAAGAATCCTAACCCCACAGTTTCCAAATCGGTCCCCCATTTTATTCAACTGTTTATAGCATTCTGCTGAACCATCTTTTACTTCTTCGCCAAAAAGCGCTTGACACTGCAAATCACGGTCACTGCAGTTTCCTCTCACACAAACAGCTAATGCTGAGCATGGAGTTCCATCCTGGATGTATAAATCATCTGGGCACATCTCACTATTCCCAGAACAGTATTCTGGTAGATCACAAATGCCACGTATCTCTCTGCAAATCACTCCAGGGGGAGCATAATTACACTTATGGCAGCAAATTCCTGTATTACATTGAGCTCCAGATTTGAGGGTACAGTTTGTCTCGCAGCATTCATCAAGAACACACTCTTTAAGAGAGCCGCAATCACATTCCTCTCTCCCATTTTTGATCCCGTCTCCACAACGAGGAGCTACATAAGGGAAGTTATTATATGGAACGTTTGGAATGCTCAAACAACTATCCCAACCAAAAACTCTGTTGTGTATTTTAGCAAAAGAACAGTTGCTCATCATATCTCGAAGACCAGGCGGTTCTTTCATAATACAGTGGGTTCTTCGAAAACAATAACAACCATATGTATCCTTATCTGCATTAAGGGTATGACCCAATATATGTGCTGTGATAGCTGCAGCCAAGAAAAAGTGATGCCTTGCAACAAAGACATACATTGCTCCCCAGTTGGCATTGCAGATCCCATTCATAAAGCTATGATATTTTTTTCCTCCTATAAGTGCATGTCCTGTAAGAAGAAGTGAAGTATCATGTGGAAAATCTGAATACCATCCCCAGAATTTCCACAAACCAAAATTTTCTACAGTTTTTATAGCATCGGCCTCATAAAGGTTAAATTTGTCCACCGCATCCCATATGCACAACATACGTATGTAGACATTTAAAAACACTGCCTTGTAAATGGTATGGAGTATGCTGTTTAAAATCAGTGTGTTTTCTATTATGCGTGTCACATTACCTCGCAGCTGCACAACTAATGAGTTAGAATATGTGTAGTGAATTTTCAGATATTTCTGATGATGTCGCCACAAATAAACAGGGCCCGCTCTAGGAATCTGAGTAACTTTTTCCTTTTCAAGTGCTTCATTTGTCCCTTCCTCCTCAG